TCCCCCCTGTTAAAAATGTTGTTGGAATGCCCCTACACGATGGCGGCAGGTATGCCAGGTCCTTTCAAACCGGAACTGCCCCCCCCCCTCCCGCACCCTCTTCAACTCCTTCCTCAAAATACCTATAGCTTGTTTAATACTTATGTTTCTTTTAAAAAAATTTAAATAGCTCGGATTCGAAATGAACGAAAATATTCTCAGCTGTAATGATGCATGAAAGAATGTAAGGTGATACCTAAAACTCGTTTCTTTTCAGTCTGAGCCCTCAACTCCCTGTCCAAGCTGTGAAACGGCCTCGGTGGTTTTCCAAACTTCTCATTTTCCAGTTGTTGCAAAATCCGTTCATATTCAGCTCGTGACGCAGGCACTGAAACAAAAGAAGCTTATTTTACTCTATAAATAGCTCTATCCCCCATGAATTCATCGCTAAGAACAGCACTGAGAAAAAAAAATATGTTTTTTTAAATCCCTGTTTTCATGTTGTGCCGCAGTACTTGTTCAGGAAACACTACTCTTATCCTTATACAACATTCACATAGTTTTTATTTTAGTTTCTGACACTTTTTCAAAACAAATATTCAAAACCAGTGCTAAAACTGGAAGCACTGTTATTTTTCTAAACTTACTGATCTGGCCACGCCATTCCCACTGCATTGTTCTTCGGCATTTTGCATCGGGTGTATTGTAAATGCAGGCAATGCAATCTTCATTAGTGACAACAGCCGGGGGCTGCAAAATTTTGTAAGGTACAATTTTACAAAAAAATTTAGACTTCAATCACTGAGCTTCGAGAAAGTTAGAATATTTCAAAGAATTTCTTGAAAAACAGTTCACAGAATTTTTCTAATCGCATAAAATTATCAGAGAAAAATACTTGAAGGCGATTTGTAAGAATGATATTCGGATACATCGCTCCCACATCCAAATGATATATTTTAGGATTTTCGAGGCGCAGTGGTCGTTTAATGAAATCATCAAGCTGTGATTCGATCTAAACAATAACAATAATAAAATTTACTTCAACCCTAACAACAGGCTCGAGCGTTTTATCTTGTTTTTCGCAAATGACACGTGAAAAAACACTGATTTTTTCCTGCAGTGCTCAAAAATGAAAATTTTATAAAAACATTTGTCAAGCAATTTTACTTATTTATTTACTAAGACACCCGGACAGTCAGCGTGGGCCTTGAGTTACGTGTTACCAGATATTATTCACATCGCCTGTTCGAAAAAAATGCGCCATTTTCTAACACGCCGCTCAATTGGTCATTAACTTTCCCGCCCAAAATACCCGCTAATAAGCAACAAACAGTGATAATCAGCAATATAAGCAACAGGAACTGTTTATCAGATTTTACTTCCCGTACGCCGTAATGATTTTACTTCCCATCTTTTTATTTACAACAGCTCGAAGCACAGCATTCAGCTCTATCCTATAAAACGCTTCTTCGTTTTTAGTGAACAGAGAGAAAACGAAGGGATACTTCCTTGTCTAGATGGTTTAATGCAATAATACGATCCATTGTGCCGTAGTTACTTTGGAATCCAACTTTCTTCCTCGACTGCTACTCATCGAACAGTCTTGTTAGCCGAATAATAACAATAACAGCAGTAATAATAATAACAATAATGATAATAATGATGGCAATAATAGTAGTAATTATAATGACAATAACAATAATAAGAATCTTTCCAAGCGCAAAAAATACCTCCCTGGCGACACTGTCGAAATCAACAACCTCGTTCATATCGACCCCAAATTCGCGCGTCAACGAATCGGTAAGAGCTTTTCTAACGTCTCGCTTCAGATTCAAAACTGTTTCCGGGACAATCCGAAATCTACAACAAATTGTACGTTCTCACTTAAAATGAGCAGTCCTCGGAGGAAATGGCTAAAAAAAGCTTTGCATGTGAAAAAATACCGCTATTACTATGCCATCGCTTGGGGAATGGTGAATTTTCGGCATATAGTAAAAAATGAAGAGCACTTTTTCGACTTTACTTTTTTTAAAAAACCTAGAAATTGTAAGGGAGAAAATTTGAAACTATTTTTTTTTTTTGAACAAACCTTTCTGGAATATCAGCACGGAAGACACCAGATTCC